GTCAGATGTCACCACTATCTCGTTGATTGGTAGGGGTCAGATGTCACAACTATCTCGTTGATTGGTAGGGGTCAGATGTCACCTCTATCTCGTTGATTTGGAGGGGTCAGACGTGGTCTCAGTCACTACTATCTCGTTGATTGGTAGGGGTCAGATCTGGCCGCAGTCACCACTATCTCGTTGATTGGTAGGGGTCAGACCTGGCCGCAGTACCCAGAATCTCGTTGATTGGTAGGGGTCAGATGTGGCCGCGGTCACCACTATCTCATTGATTGATAGGGGTCAGATGTCACCACTATCTCGTTGATTGGTAGGGGTCAGATGTCACCTCTATCCTGTTGATTGGTAGGGGTCAGATGTGGCCGTAGTCACCACTATCTCGTTGACTGGTAAGGGTCAGTTGTGGCTGCAGATACCTGTCTAGTTGATTGGATGTGATCACACTTGTTTCCATGATTTCTACTGTTTCGTAGATTGGGAGGTGTCACACTTTGACCCAGTTACCAGTATCTACTGGATTGGAAGGGTCGGAAGTACCCGTGGATTCCACTGTGTTGTGGGTTGTGTGGGAACAGACTCGGCTTCAATTACCAGTACAAGAATATTATCAATTGGTAGGGTTAGACGTGTTCACCACTTCCAGTATCTCGTGTATAGGGAGGGGTCAGATGTTTATGTTTGTGTTTATGCATTAAGGAGACATTTTTATCCAAAGCGACTTACAAAGTAGAAGCAATGTTACAGTTATCATAAGTTCTCTAGAGGAAAAGCCCTAGTCAGAATCAGTGGTGACAGCAAAGAGAGAGAGGGAACTTCAGAAAGAGTCGTAGAGGGGGTTTAGAGGTATGGGTAACAGTTAGGATAATGGCCATAGTCAACAGCATCAGCATCTTTCAGAGTTTGAAGCGCACTTAGCAGACAGAGACCATTATCATCAACTCTGACTGAATCCAAACATTTAAAGTGGAAATAGAAGCTTTAAGATAAATAAGATTGTATCACACTGAGATTCTCAACATGTTGGAAATAAAACCACAGCTTCAAAAAAGGCCACTGACATCAGTGCCAAAGCAAAAGTAAACCTGCCCACTTCAACCTGGTGTGTTAATGTGTTTCAACACTTCATTCACAGCTAAATACTATATTGTGAGCTGAGTTCAGGTGTCTCTACATCATGCTGATGTCAGAGGAGTCGGGCTTCAGTATCTGAAGGGTCAGAATGAGTTTAATTGATTTTCTGAACCAGGGGTAGAAAAACACATAGATTATGGGGTTCACACAGGAGTTAAAGTAGACCAAACATATGACAAGTGTAGCAGATTCTGTACTGAGAGCGCTTTCTTGGCCTGAGAGAGCGATGCAGTAAAATGGACACATGCACAGAAGAAACACGAGCACAACAATGCCCAGAGTTCTGGCTGCTTTCAGCTCAGACTTTTTAACAGTTACTGAGCTCTGGAGGTGGGTGGCAGCGATATGAGAGCGCATGGCCCGAGCCTGAGACACCGCCACCACAAACACCCTGAGATACAGAACTACTATCACAGTGATGGGAACCAGGAAGGAAAAGGTCATATCAATGTAACCGACTATTTGGTTACTAACGAAGGCACACTGCCCTAGGCAGAAGTCAACGTTTTCAGGTTTCTTCAGGTTATCCTTCAGAACCAGACCCTGAAACACCACAGAGCAGATCCAACACACACAGACACAGATTTTCACTCTTTTCTGTGTAACTTTGGTGGAGTAATGCAGAGGGTGGCAAATGGCCACATAACGGTCAATAGAAATGATTACCATGGTTCCTATGGAGGCCGAGGTGACGATGTAAGCCAGGTACTCATACAGATTACATATTATGTCACTCAGGAACATGCAGCTGTCCATGAGCATCATCTGAAAGATCAAAATAAGGCTGACAAGAAAGTCCGCGACAGCCAGAGAGAGGAGGTTGGTGGGGGTTTGGAGCTGCCTGTGGAGGGAGAATGGATAAATGTATTTCTCACAGTTCGATCAACAAAAACTGATCAGTAAATGACAATTCCAAAGAAGAAAAATTTATCAAACTCTATTTGCACCACTAAAACCACCCTTGTTATTGACATTCACACTCAGAAACCAAACTGAAATACATTAGCACTTCTTTCTCCTCCATCATCATCGTTCACCTGCTCTGTTACCTGAAGTGTGAGATGGAGATGATGACCAGCAGGTTGAGAATCGCAGTGACCAGAGAGATGGAGGACAGAGTAACTACAGTCACTATGACCTCAGACTGAGGACGCTGCAGCGTCCTGCAGGAGGTGTTGACCTGAGGAAAGCAGAGCTCGGCCTCCTCCATCGTCACAGGAAGAAGGAGCTCCTGGACTCAAACCGACTGAGTCTGCTCTATCCCCGTCCTTGAGGTTTTATCCCCGTTTCCCCCCCTCTCAGCGCTCTTTGGCCTCTATGGAAACTGACGCTCTCTCACTGTGCACCGCGTCATCGGAGAATAATGCTCCCCAATCGAAAAAGAATCCTCCCCAAACTAAGTGTGACACAGACAGAAAGTTTGGCCCCACAGTGAGACTTGTTTTGAGAGCATTGGTGGTATAGTGGTTAGCATAGCTGCCTTCCAAGCACTTGATGTGGGTTCGATTCCTCGTCAATGCAGGTCCTCTCTTTCCCCTATAAGTCGCTTTGGATAAAAGCGTCTGCCAAATGTATAAACATTTTCATGGTTTGTGCTGTGTTTGTGACTTTCTGATTCATTCTGATCCCCATTAACAGGATCTTTCTGTTACATCCGTGCCTTTAACACCTGTGGGACCCAAAAACAGAACTTTTAGGTGGTAGTAATCACATCCAAAACCCTCACTAAAACACCTCTACCTTTGGCCTCCAGTGGCCTCAAAGCAGTTGTTTGTTAGAGGGGCCACTGCCAGCAGCAGGCACCAATATCATGTTTGTACATATATTTTTCTTGACTTCTCCCATAACCCTGCCATTTCCATCATGAAATCCCGTCCCGCGTGGTTCGATGGATTGGGCCCAAAAAAGACAGGCGCTTGTGAGCCAACCACGGGATACATGGTTGTGTTTTTCTCTCTCGTTAGTCCCGGCGTTTTGTAATAAACAGTGAAAAAAGGCGAATGTCGTCCCATAGGAAATGAATGGTAAGGCCAAAAATGGGCCCAAAACATGACCCGCTTCCAGGCCTAATTGCTCGGCCCCATGACATCCAAGAAACCTCATTCAAACATTAAACGGGTCACGAAAGACGGGTCTCCGGTATATTGGAGCAACAAGGCCCTATCTCGCACAGTTTGGCCGCAATTGCTGTTGACGTTTTAGCAAAAATCTAAAAAATCCTCAAATCCACTCTAGTGATGTCTAGTGATGTTCCCGTGGGGATAGTCGCCAGAAAAAAAGTCACACTCTGGCCTCTCCCGATCAAACCGTAGGGCCGAGCGGGACCACAAAGACCTCAAAACGTAGCCACGAATGTCCTCTTTTGGCCAGTATGCCTGCTTTTTACCTCAGCCTTACAGTTGTCCCGCATTCGGGCCCAGTGTCCAGACTGTCCCAACGCAGTCCCATTCGGATATAATGGAAGAAAAGAGAGAAAATGTCATCAACTGCCAAAACGGACCTAATTTAAAACTGCCTTGAAAAACAAACCACTGGGGGAAGCCAAAAAATAAAAACACTGGGTAGGCCCGCCATCCCTTCTGGCACTCACAGTTTGAGAATTTTTCAGTTATCTCTTATAGTTTTCGAACGGCGGGCAGGAGTTCGGGGTGAAGTTTTGATTAAAAGTCTCAGAATGTCAGTTGGCTCGTCTGATGAAGGGAGTAGCGGCTAAGCTGCCATGTTTGGGATGTTGAGTGTTGGTGAGCTGGAAGTAGGCACAATATCTGTGGAGCTGAGCCATAGCTGAGCCAAAACACTGCACTACCCAAAATGCCTTGCTCCTCAACCAGGAAGTACACTACATTTCTGTGGGCGCTTTAATCAGTACATGGTTCTGGGTAGGCCAAATGTCAATTTTCAAACCTCTACAGCAGTGTTTTTCAACCTTTTTTGAGCCAAGGTACAGTTTTTCATTGAAAAAATCTCGAGGCACACCACCAAAAAAAAAATGTCAAACAAATCTGTAGCCGCCTATAGTAACACTATAGTTATTCTTAACTTATTCTTATCTTATCTTAAGTGTCTTGAATAGGAATCAAATAAACACAAAAATGTATTTTTATCATATTTTATATTTCTTCTTTCAAATTCCTCTTAACATGTCCATTTCAATATACAAAATTATATACAAAATCTAGTCATGATGAATTATTACATGATTACGCCACCAGTCACTACTACAGCACAGACACTCAGAAATGGCACATTATTTGAAAAAAATACATTTTTAGACCAATGAGGTGAAATAGGATGATTTTCTACGGCACACCTGACCATCACTAACGGCACACTAGTGTACCGAGGCACAGTGGCTGAAAAACACTGCTCTACAGAGTTACTTAGGCCACTTTTGAGAGCTCCAGAGAGCCACGATGGGGGAGTAAATGGGCAGTAGGTGGCCCCCCCTTCAAAATTTCTTTAGAAATGTTATAGTTCATAGTGTTCCAGAAGGTTCCTGAGTGTGACTGATTCCGGTGTCCACTGCCCATGACTTTGGGTTGACATCACCACTGTGTGGACTCTGGGTGGGCTGTCCATGTGGTGTCCTCAACCCTTTAAGGGATATTTGGGGCATTTTGGAAGTACATATCCTATTTTGTGGAAGTTTTTTCATATTTTTTTATGATACGCACGTCTAAAGATGCACTAACAAACTTTAATCAACTTTTTTTTCAGATTAATTTTTGCAATATTTGCACACTAATGCTCATAAAGCACATTACAGCCAGAGATGGTGTGACCTTTCCTGGCTCCTGATTGGTCCGAGCCTGTGACATCACCCTTAGTGAAGCAGTCTGACCCTGACAGGTCGACTCATTCTTTAAACAAACAAGTCCTTCTTTTTTACATCAAACCTGACTTTATGCTTTAGTTTGGAATCACAGAGCTCAACATGACAGTTTTGTGATCATTAAAGGAAAAACATTAATGGGAAACCTTTTGATCTCTTTGTAAAAGAGCTCAAACTGGTTTCAAACACAACTTCAGACTAAAAGCTGTAAAACTATAAGCCTACAATGTCACATTTGTGTGTCTGTGAAATACTTTCAAACAGATTATTATGATCTGTGTGGAACAAAAGCAAAGATTTAAATAAAGTTTCTATAAAAAAAACTATTAAAGATTTTCAAAAGGATGTTTTGACTTTATTCTGTTGCAATGTTCCATTTCTAAATAAAAAAGGATCAAATAATGCAGCTGATGAAAGTTTTAATACAAAGTTTGTAAATGGTAGCCTTACTTTTCTGTTGTTTACCAGCAGTTTTAGCACAGTAAAGTTAGAAAACGGATCGAGACTTCATCACAAAAACAAGATGAAGAAATGAGCAGAGGGGACGGGGCCCTGGGGAGCAGACTCATGTCAGACGTGTGAAAACAAACATGCGTGTGCAGCTAATGGCCTCTAATGAGAGGACTCTCACCTCCTCCTGTTTGTGCCAGATGACTGAGAGCTGTCGTCTCTGTGGGATCCGGCCAATCAGAGGTGTTAACGAGACACAGTCAACAGATGACGAAACGCTAACACGTTCCGCTCACAGAGGAGCTGCGGTGACCTCTGGTTTTATTTATCTATTTATTTATTTGAATAGGGACAAAGCACATTAATGAACATCAGTGAAAAACAAATGTAAATATGCCGGATGGTAGCTACAAAGCTAATTTTCATCCGTAGTCCCTAGGCAGGCAAAGGCATAAAAAATAACATATAATAAACAATATAAGCATCACAATTAACTCATTGACTGGCAGCCATTTTCAGAACAGAGAGTCGCTCACTGACAGAGTTTTTTGAGCATTTTGACTGATTTTTCAAGAGCCAGAGAATAGTTTGTGCTATGACTATGTAAACACCGAACACACCACAAGAAAGAGTAGACTCTCTTCTTTCATCAGGACAAAAAATGTGTTTCTACCTTATTCCGTTCTTCCTCGACGTGCGTCTCACCGGCGACATGTTCTCTCATAGCGAACCGTTAGCTTTTTTTTATTTGCCTACAGTCTATGCTCATCTCCCATCAAAAGTGGCACAACTACCTAGAGGGTCAATTTGTTACTACATACTCTGTCTGGAAGCAGATATTTACGGAAAAACTTTCGCCGATCGTTCCCCAAGCCACTCACATTCAAAAACCTAAAAGACGTCTATAGACGTCTTTGGCAGTCAGCGGTTGGATTTGAATGCTCTTGGTGAACTTTAAAAGAGCTTTAAAATGTAAAATGATAAAATCTTACGTTCTTATGTAGATCAATATATGTACTTGAATCTGAATTTGAAGAAATCCTGGTAGGTTGTAAGGTAAAAAAATAGGGTAGGCAAGAATAAGCTTTGCTTCGGCCTATTCCTTTTTTGGTAAACTGTGGGTTTGTCTATTGTTTTTTTTCTTTTTTTCCTTTTGTTGTTTTTTGTGTTTAATGTGGACAATTTACCAAAATAAATTGATTGATTGATTGATTGATTGATTGATTGATTGATTGATTGATTGATTGATTGATTGATTGATTGATTGAATTGACGTCTATAGACGTCTTTGGCAGCAAATGAGTTCAAAGTTTAGATTTTAGTGGTCACATGACTGGCTTGCTTTCCTCCAAAGTTTAAGTTGATCTCTAAAGCTGGTCAGTGTGGGGCTCTCCCGTATGAGCCATGGTTCTGCTCCAGGTTTCTGCCTGTTAAAGGAAGTTGTTCCTTGCCTGTGTCGCCTAGTGCTTGCTCATGGTGGGAATTGTTGGGTTTTTGTAGTTAACTTCAGAGTAGGGTCTGACCTGCTCTGTTTGGAAAGCTGTGAGACAACTGTTGTTGTGATGTGGCGCTATATAAATGAAATTGAATTCAATTTAATTCATTTTAATTTTGTAATGTCATTGTCTGAACGTGTGTTTGGACTGATTTAGTATTTTGTGATTTTGTGTTGTTTGGTCTTCCTGCCTCAGGACCACAGATGTAAAATAGCAACTATGCTAGAATCTGGCTCATTTACAATCTGTATGAGATTATTCATTAATGTACACTGTCCTGATTAAATAAATAAATGTGCAAAGGAAGACTGTTCCGGATGTTAGCGGTTATGCCTCACCCTGTGTTTTTCTGCTGGTGACTCACAGGACTGTGGCCGTCCTCAGACCTGCATCCGGACCAGCAGGTTGTCAGAAAAGACAAAAAACACGCAGACACAAAAGATGTGAATCCTCCATCCATCACTCAAATCCTCCATCGTGTCTGTGTTTCTTCCTGTTTCTTCCTTAAAACCAGCCGGATGCTTCCAGGAACCAGTTTAACCCTTTAAAGCCTGATCCAACAATAAAACAAAACAGAAAATTACTTTTTTTTTGTTTGAAGCCTTTATTTGGCCTTTTAACAAAATATGTAAAAAGAAAAAACAGAAATACATTTTTGATATTAATAATTTATTACTATGCGATAAGTCCAGATTATTTTTTGTGTAGTCTTCTGCCCCCTGTTATCAGGTGTATCTGATTGTGTACAATAGGATTTTCAAAGTTTTTACCATTAAATTATGCAAAAGGTGTCAGACGCAAAACATTTCAGAAACCGTATGAATCAAATATGATACATTTGGCATTACAGGGTTAAACTCTGACTTAAACCTGTCCGTGATCACACACCAACATCTGAACTCTGATCCAACCAGAGTCCAGAGAACCAGAGTTTCTGGATTTTTCCTCCAGAATGAGGTTCACCTCCTGGAATCAGCTCTGTTCCAGCAGAAATGAAGGAAACTGTTCTTTTGTGCCACAAGTGACAGAAATAAGTAGAAAAATAAATACCTGATTTGGATGAATAAAGACCTTTTCTGAGGGATGTTTTCAGCTTTATCTTCATCATTTGGGTCAGTTTGACTCGTCCTGACCGGGTTTTTCTGCACGTTTGGGGCCAAAAACCAGCTGGATCTATCTATCTATCTATCTATCTATCTATCTATCTATCTATCTATCATATTTTCTGACTTATTTTCTGTTATGTTATTATTGCTAACTTTCTCGTCCTCTCTGTATTTCTCGTTTTCCTTTAATCCCAGTAAAATGTTTAATTTTTTTTACGATCTGGTGGTTTGGTTTGAATAGTGTCAAAGTTTTTCAAACCACATTGAGACAAATCTTCAGTTTAAGCTTCATGTGACAGAAAATGTGGAAAGACAAAGCTGCTGCCCCCTTCTGTTCACAGTCAGTATTACATCTTAAAGGTTTCACTGTCCAATCTGAGTCATAAACGTAAAGATTCCATCATGTTCACAAGAAAAGTCACAAAGTAGTTTGTCATTAGATGATTTATTGAGTAAATATGTTCGTTTATACGGATACTGGGGAATCAGCCCAGGAAACCTGACAAATGCCCAAAAGGCCTCTCAAAACTTTAGGTAACCACAAATTAATCTCTTTTTACCTTCATGAAGGTAAAAAACGTCACGATCGGGCATACTTTGTCCCCTTTTTGTGGAGGGGACCTTTATAGTCACAACAAGTGGTCAGCAGGAAATAAAAAGCACAAAAACGTATATAATATGTTATAAAAGACAGAATAAAGCAGAGTGAATTAAACCAGAGAACAAAACCGATTTGCCTTTGCACTAAATACTGCTTGAATTATCTCATTTTCATTAAATGAGACTAAAAATAAGCATTGGGCCCCATAAATGGCAGTTCCCCTCCCCCTGCTGTTCGTTTTTGGTATTGCACCAGACCCCAGAAAGCTGTGAGCAGAGAAATAGGACAAGGCTACATGTAGTACAGAGAAACAGGCCGAGGCTACATGTAGTACAGAGAAACAGGACGAGGCTACATGTAGTACAGAGAAACAGGACGGGGCTACATGTAGTACAGAGAAACAGGACGAGGCTACATGTAGTACAG